GTCACTCTACGAAGATCGGGAGACATCATAATTCTACTAATGCATAGAAATAAGCACAGGGAGGTAGCCAAAATGGGAAGACAAGGAAACATGTCCCACATGGGGGAAAAAAAAAAAGTCCGGGGGCTTGTGGGTGGGGCGCTGACCTGCTGCTTCGCCACCGCGGACCCGCCCTCTGTCCTCACCAGCCGAGCCTTGGTTGGGCGCGGGCCGCTTCGTCAGGCAGCGGTCGGAGAGAGAGCCATGGGGACAGTGCACGCCCGGGTAAGAGGCCCAGTGACCCGTGCGCTGCGTGTCCTTCGGGCGGGCGCCGCGGGGAGACGCTCTCACGCCTGCGCCCGGGGGTTCCCTGGCGAGGGGGCTCCAAGCGCGGCGGGCCCCGGAGGCCCGCGCAGAACCGGGCCCGGCGCTCCGCGTGTAGCGCCCCCGCGCTGGACCCGCTGGCCTGGTGCAGGAGGCCGCAGAGACGCCGCCAGCAGGTCTCTGAGACCTCCGAGCAGGAAACTGATACTCAGAGGAGGGTCGTGACTCGCCCAAGGTCACTCAGCGACGCTGTGGTCCAGAAGGGACTAGCGAACTTTCCGTGGTATCCTGGAGCAGAGTAATAAGTTTTTCTCTCCATGACTTGGCTTCTCTGTCCTCAGCCATTTCGGGCGTCTTCTCTCGTCACCGGTCACCTCCAGTCGCTCTGGTTCCGCCGCTGGCTGGAGTCATGTAGACTCCCAGAGCACCAAGTGTCCCTTAAAGTCTTCCAACTCAGACCCATCTAGGAGTCCTCTTTTCCTCTTTATACCATCAAGGACGGAAACCCTATGCTTTAGTTCCTCCTTTTAAAATACCTGCTCAGCAAGCTGTTAGGAGAATTAGAAGACACGATGCATGTTAAATACTTAGGTGGGTGCTTGGCACGAACTAACTGGTCGCCAGACTTCTTTATCGTAATTTTAACCGAGGGCCAGAGGATGAATATTTGTCCAAGGTCACCCTGTTAGAGCCTCAGAATGTTCCAAAACTCAGACCTCCTGAGTCCCAGCCCTCAACGCGACTCTCCTGCTAGAACATGGATCGGTTCACTTGCCCTGCTCAGAAGCTTTCAGTAGTTCCCCGTTATCTTCCTAAAGAATTTAGCACGGACTTCTCAGCCTGGCATCTGGAATAGGATTTGACTCCCTTTCTTTCATTCAGATCTTGCATTCAAATGAAACACAGTTGCTCCCTCTTCCATCGTCCAACCGCACTGCCATCATCAGCTATCAAAATGTTCTCATCTTTTAGAATTCAGTTTAGGTCACTGCAGATAAACCTCATCTCCTCTCATTTGGATGTGCTCCTGACTTTTGACATTTTTCCTCTGGTGCCCTGCTTTAGCTCTGTTTGCATTTTTATCTTTTAAATTCTCAGTTTGTAGACGTTACAGTAGGAACTGTGTCTTACTTGGCTCGCATCCCTTGTAACATCTTGAACAAAGTAAGCGTTCATTCATTTATTCAAGTGATATTTACCAGTGGTCTACTATGTGCCTGGCACTATTTATTGTAGATACTAGAAATACAGGGCGAAAAAAAGTCTTCGATTATGTATTGACACAAAACATTTGAATTTAATTTGACCTTTCTATTCCACTAGTTAGTGTTATGTGAATTTTTTGGTCAAGACTCACGGTAATAAAACAATTTACATTTGCTTTCTAGTAGCACGTGTGAAACCAAAGTTTTGTGAAACGGTGTTTACCATTAATATCTTTTAAAAAATATTTTCTATTTGATTCTAGTCTGTACCGCTTTAAGATAACTGTTCCTAACTCATTAAATGTATTCCATGTCCTGTTCCTTCAGTTAGCACTGCCTGGCACGTGGTGTTTGATAAAACTTAACTGGTAGACTGACCTGCTTAAATTTAGAGGCTAGATCCAGATATTCTAATTCATTTCACCAAATACTTATCCCATTACTGCTCTTCCAGACATCAGAATGTAAATTCTATGAGGGTGAGGATCCCGTAAGTGCTTGTCACGCAGTACGTTCTTAATATTTGGTAAATGAATGAAACTCCACTAGTAAGATAGTTAATTTAGAACATCAAACTTTGATGTAACTGTAAAATCATAAAGACATCGTCTCTTAAAGTCTGAATTTCAGATTAAAGAATACAGAGTCCCCTTTGCAAGATTTTTTAGTGAATCTTGTTTCATGCTTTGAAATTATAGGAATCATAATGGAATTTTTTTAGCATAATGGAATATAAACTTTGTGCCTGGACAAAGCATATTTGCTAAGCATTCAGTTGAAATAGAATGAATACGTGCATATATTCCTGACCATAGTATATACTACTGTGTATACATAGTTTACACAAATTTAATATACTTTTTTACGCTATGCAAACTTAAATATAGAAAGCATATTTATGCAATGATGCAGAAAAAAGTATTTTAATTTGTTAACATGTTTGAGAAATATAGTAGTATTCCATTTTTGAAATATTACACAAGAAAATCGAAAGGATAATGATATGAAATAATGGTATATTTTTTGCCCAGCATTATCTTCCCTTTACTTATGTAAGTATCCGGTTCAAGCCCTGTGAGGCTTGAACCGGATACTTACATAAGTAAAGGGAAGATAATGGGGGGTCTTGGTCTCTTGTTCACTGCAGCATTCCCTGCCCTTAGTCCTGTGCTCAGCATATAGTAGACATTCAGTAAATATTTGTTAAATGAAAGAACAAAAGAAAAAGTCATTTACTTACCCTTTCCACAGATAATTTGAGTACCTCTGATGTGCCAGGGCACATAAAAAAGAAGAAAAAAGGAGTACTTGCAAATGTTATAAACTTCTACTGTCAAGAGGTGTCCTGTGAAGCAGGGACTGATTCTACCTGAAGAAACCAGGGATGGCTCTTAGAGGAGGTGACATTACGGTGGCTCTTTAAGCTACTTAGGCGGGAAACTATTCCTGGCAGAACAAGGTGTGCGCAAACGTGAACATGACCGGGAGTGGTGGGGACCGAAACTGGGGTAGCAGGTGTGGGCCATAAGCTAGAGTTCTTGGTGTGCCCTGCGAAGATACCTAGTTGGACCATCAGAGTCTCTTAGGGCAGGGAGGGGAAAGGGGACCTGACACTGTCAGGTCATTCCCTTTCCAGAGAACCAGTGACATTATGGAGGACATACCGACAAGAGGCTGGTATTCCAGGGAAATGGTGACTGTGGCCCAGAGTCCCCTTTGCTGTGCGTACTGCAGATGTCACTCACTTCTGTGCATGTTGAAAATGCTTATTCATAGAGAACTGGTGGAGTAAGGAAGCAGCAGATACTGGTTAGCATGGTTTTCTCCAGTTACTTGGTGCCGCACTGGACCCAAGTCCATTCCCAGAGTGTCCAGGAATCCCTGTGGACAAGCCAGCATGTGTATAAAACATAATATTGTATGTATATTGTCATACATACTGTTATAGCATCACGTCTCCCCAAAAGTACTAAACCAGGCACAACCTGCAGAATCCGTATTCAGAAGGTGCTTTAATGCTTTTGAGATGTAGTTTAGGTTGAAGAAAGTGATCTCTTTCTGACCCATTTTATGAGCATATGCAGTTTCTCTTAGTGTGTGAATGAGACTTTCTGAACCAAAACGAACCTATCAGTGTCCAGGAAAATAAGTTTTAGTAATTTGAGTTGTCAGTGTTCTTATCCTAGCATGTATCCAATACTGATTTAAAAAATTAGGATACTTTCTGTAACAAGAAGAAAGCACATTCTTTTCCTTGACAAATGTCTTTCTGGAATCTTATTTTTGAGTTATTTTTGTCTTCAAATGGGCTTCAGGTGTACAGAACTAGATTTGCTGTAATCATCGGTTCTGGACAGTCATCATAGGTTTTTAAATTACTTTCCATCTTTGTTTTATTAACAATACACTGTACACCAAGAAGCTCACTACCAATATAAGATGCGAACATCGGCACTCGCTGCGTCTGCGCCCGTGCTCCCCACCCTGCCTGCCTCCACTCACCAGAGGAAACCGCCGTACCAAGTCACCTGGAGCACCATCTAAAGACAGAAAAAGGCTTTGTTTTTTTGTATGAGTTCATTTATCTGTGGTTCCTCCCTCCCTTTCAGAGTTTGGAGCCTCTTCCACCCGGTGGACCTGATTTTGGAGCATTAGGAGAAGAAGCTGAATTTGTTGAAGTTGAACCTGAAGCTAAGCAGGAAATTCTTGAAAACAAAGATGTGAGTATTGTGTTGACGGGCTGGATACAGTTATTACTAGAAACATTTACTTCGATTAACATTTAGGGAAATGAAAAGGCATTAACCTGTCTCGGTACCTTTATCAAAGAGTTTGCAGCCAAGTACATTTTAGAAAGACTAGTGACTTTTAGAGAAATAGTTTCCGGTTTTAGAAAAATAGTTTTTCCTTGGTGATTATTTATGTGGGAAGTTTCCTCAAACACATTTTGTATTTGTGTTACTTTAAAAATCCAAAAGTATTTCAAAGACAAGCTCAAATTATGCATAAGTTTATATTCTGTTCCCTTCTCCCAGAAAAAAGGCCTTGGGTCTTAAATGAAACTTTTCCTAAACTTTGTTGATTTTGAAATTAAGTGCAGCTGAAGAAATATAAGCACATTTTCCGTTAATTCTTAAATTAAGATCTTTTCAGTGCAGTATTCCAATCACCTATAAGTTATGTTTTTCTCATACTCCCTCTGACCTCTGCTTTATTTTTCCGTTACTCTGGACCATCTGCTATAGTATACATTGCCCATTTCTTCCCCCTCGAAGCAGGACTTTGTGTTTTGTTCACTGCTTTATCGTCAGTGTTTAGAACACTTGGCTCGTAGGTAGTCAGTGCATTTTTCTTGAACAAATTAAATACGTCTATTGCATATTCACTTTGCTATGTGGCTTTTATGAAAACAGTGGTGAGCGAGAAGCTGTTCCTATTTTTGACGAGTTTGCTTTCCAGTGAGGGGACAGGTGGGAGGCTCCGAGTCAGCGCTTCTCATGCCACGTGACTCCACACAAGATCTCCAGCAGGGCACATGCGGTTATGAATTGGGTTATGGTCACCGTTCCCCCAGGGGCCAGTGCTTGGGGAGCACGTTGGGAAGGATGCACAGGGGACCTCTGCGGCCTGCTGGGTGTAGGACTGACGTGATCCTTGATCATTTGGCTATGGAGACCTTGTGGACCTTGTTCACAGGAAGTACAGACGCAGCAAAGGGTAAATTCAAGTCACTGTTTATTTGAAAAGGTGTGGGGAAAAAACAGAATTCAACCTGGGATTAAGAAATGTGGATCATTAAACTTGAAAAAAAATCCTTGAAATTAATTTCAGACACTTGCCTTGACGCCTGACCTCTAGCCCTGTGTCATACTTAACAGTCTGTGTCCCCTTGTCATGTTTAGGTGGTTGTTCAGCATGTTCATTTTGATGGACTCGGGAGGACTAAAGATGATGTCATCATGTATGAAATTGGAGACGTTTTTAAGGCTAAAAACCTCATTGAGGCAAGTATTCCCTCTGATCGGCATTCTCTCTCGTTCCCTTCTGAAGATCCTGTGACACCCGTGTCCTCCCATGCTGGGCGCCCTAGCCCAGCCTCTCCGCTGATGACTTTGCCTCCTACGGTGCATTTGCGCCCCACGCGGGACTCCTCAGTTCCCCGGGTGCCCCCATGACGTGTGTTTGCGTTTGCCCTTATCCTGGAAAGGCTGGTGCTTCCCTGTGCTCTTCACCACTGTCTCAGCCTTGGAGGAGGGGCTGCCGGTGCTGGGTGCCCGCTGCTGGGTGCCGTGTGCTGACTCCTCCCCAGGCGCCCTGCTTGGCGCTGTTGTGCACGCGCCTGTGGGTGGCACTCGGTTGTCACCCACCCTGCTGTCTCCTCCGGCCCTTGCTCCGCTTATCCACAGTCGCTCTCTCCTCCGTGGGTTCCTTCTGTCCCTCCCACCCTGGGGCCTTGTTTACGTGCCCGGCAGGGTCACCAACAGCTTCCCCGTGGCCAGGCCCGCCGGCTCCCTCGGTCCTTGTTTAACTTGACCTTTCAACGGTGTCTGGCCATTCCCACTTTAAAAGTTAGGTGTTTTATTTTTGTTGTTTAAAGATTAAAACAATATCTAAGTTAGTTTAAAAAACAGCGTAGAGCAGTCTAACGGCATAAACGGTGTGGAAATGGCACGTGAGTTATTCCCTCACTGCCCACCCAGGCTGGCCGACCAGCGGTGACCAGGCTGGGGTTCCCATGCCTTTAAACAGCAGTCCCATTCACTGTGTCTGTGCCCCTTCCCTCTTTGACATTATTCATCATCGTGGAGATCTCACATCGGCACGTACCACCTGCACAGTATGTCATCGTGCGGACTTTCCATCACTTATTGTAAGGTTTGTTGACTAACATTTAAATTAATTGAGTCTTTCGCTCTCACGCACAGTGCCTTGTGCGTATGTGACAGTGTATCTGTAGGTTAAGTTCCCGTGAGTGGGGTTATTGGGTCGAAGGGCATGTGCTCTGTAATTCGAGCGTATGTTGCCATCTCGCCGTGCCGAGGTCACGCCAGCTGCACCCCTGCCAGCGGTACGTGAGGGGGTGTTTCTCAGCGTTGGGTGTTATCACACTTGCGACGTTCTTGCCGGCCCGTTGGGTGGAAAATGCCGTCTCCTTGTTTTAGCTTGCGCTTTCCAATTATGAACGAGATTAGGCACCTTTTCCTTGTCTGTCAGCCATTCGTATTTCCCCTGTGCGAATTACCTGTTGGTGTCCTCTGTTTCCCATGGGATCGTCCAGTATATTTTCTCGCTTTGTCTTTGGAATTTGTTCCTATGCTCCCTCTTTTCTCGACATTTCCCTTTCCTCGGTTTCCATGACTCTCACTCTCTCCTGGGCTGCTTCCCACCCTCATCACATTCATTTTAGGCCCTGTCGTCAGCTTCTTTCCCTGTGGTCACCCGTAGGTGCTGGGTTTCCCCTCAGGACCAGCCTCCTGGGTGACCTCCCCCGACCCCTGGGTGATCCCGTCCGCGCTCCCGGTTTCACTTGCAGCCGCCGTAGCGAGGGCGTCCCGGCCTCTGCTTCCGCCGCTTCCCCGCCATTGCGCTTTCTCGCTGACCGTGCCGCTGCCCACTGAGCGTTTCCTCATGGAGTCACCAGGCGTCTCTGACCTGCGTGGCCGAATACTCGTCATCTCTGCCCACCCACCCCCGCCTGTCCTCCCATCCCCGTTCCTGCCTTCTGCAGAGGCACCCAGAAATGCCGAGCCCGGGGCCGAAAGTTCTCGTAGCCTCCTCTCTCCTGTCGTGCACTCCATCAGCGACTGTCCTCGGGCTCTTGCCTGTGCAGTGGGTGGAGTCTGTCCTCGCCCCTAGCACCGTGACCTGTGCTTGACCAGCCTCCTCCACAGCCTCAGGTCCGACATCAGAATGTCTCCATCTTCCCTCCGTGTCCAGTCCTTCCTCCACGCCTGTCCTCGTGATAGCTCGTGTCATAAGGAAATTCCACCTGTCTCCCCTGCTGAAACTCTAAAGCAACCCCGCTTTCCTGCAGGGCGAAGCCCTTTCCCACTCTGCTTCCTGTGTGCCTGTCCCGCCTCCCCCTTCTGCCTCCACCTGCCCCTCCAGCAGCGAAGGACTCCTGGCGTCAGAGAGGACGGCTGTTCAACTGGAAAGGAAAACACACAGTGGTTAGAATTCAAGCGGCTTGGAAAGCCTCGCACAGCACACACCAAGCCTCCTTTTCACCAGACGGAACCCTCACTAACCAGTGACCGCGAGTCCCCGCCAGGAAGACCCGCCAGGGTGTGTGCACTGGAGTTCGGTTTGGTCCTTGTTGTTTCTACAAAAGGGATTGCAGCGTGCCCTCTGCTTTTGCCGGCGGCTTGCTTCTGCACTTCTGGGAAGGATTTTTTGTTGCTCCTTAGTGCTTTGTCCCTTCTTTCACGTGTCTGAGAAGTGTTCTTTTCTCGGCGACCAGCAAACAAGCAGGTGGTGGCCACCAGCCTGGCCTCAGAGCCCCCGTCCACGTTTCTGTATCTTAGAGGAGTACATTCTTTCTCTCTCTCACAGGTAATGCGGAAATCTCATGAAGCCCGTGAAAAGCTGCTTCGTCTGGGGATATTTAGACAAGTGGATGTTTTGATCGATACCTGTCAAGGTACCTGTGGCGTCGTATCCCTGGGATGTCCCGTTCCATGCATCCCCGGGGATCCCAAAAGCGATCTGTGTGTCCAGGCACAGACAGCCCTGGAAATTTAGCAGGCAGACGGGGCTTGGTCGTTAGCAGGCTCAGGGCAGTAACGATGTGTGCATCAGGCCGAGGGAAGGAGGCGGAATTTGAAGACATTTTCATCTGAACCCCTGGATGGTACCAGGGGTCTGAGAAGGATCCTGGAGGAGGGAGCCAGGCGGCATTCGGGATCGCCCAGCGGGTGTCCGAACGGGCTCTTGCAGATTCCATCTGAGCGTGTGCTTCGAAAGGAGGGGGGCGCAAGCAATTAGTTACAGTTTTCGTTGATTTGCGGTTTGCTATGGGAGACAGTCTGGGGCTGGAGTCACAGCTCTGCTTTTCGAGGTTACCCTGGACTCGTGGTTTTTCCATGGTGCCTCGTCACTTCATCGTGTCTAGGGTCCTGTGGTCCCTGAGGTGGCCGAGCACCATTCCAGCATCCGCATTTCCCATCCAGCATCAGGAAGGGGAAAGGGAGGCGAAAGGGCACCCCCCTCCCTTTAAGCACCTGTCAGTTGAGTTGAGGCCCCCATTATTTTTAGGACTCTTCCTGATAGAATAGAAGCCTTTGCAGGTAACACGTGCTTAAAAGGATGGGGTGCCACAGGTATCTCGCCGAAGCAGAATCTGACTGTTTTTTGATACTTTCTACTGCAGAAACTAGACACAGGGTTTTGGCGTATTGTGATCTTGTGTGGCCGTGTTCGTAAACTTTCAAACAGAGAGAGTGATTTCCAAAGGAGACCGTAAATGAACTGAGCCTTCAGATCGCTTGTCTTTTTCAACAGTGGGACCTAAACTAAAACTCTGCGTCCCAGCTGTCTTCCGGTTGAACACTTTTTACTTACCTAGGTGATGACGCACTTCCGAATGGGTTGGATGTCACATTCGAAGTAACCGAATTGAGGAGGCTGACGGGCAGTTATAACACCATGGTTGGCAACAATGAGGGCAGCATGGTACGACGCGGGCGTTTCCTTCCTCCTGGGGCAACTTCCGGTTTCGAGCTTTCACAGTGTGGCCGATTCTAAAACGTGGCGGTCTCAGAACCCGTTGGCACACCTCCATCCGCATCAGCAAGATAACCCGTGGTTTCGCATTAGTCTTCCTAGAATTGATCCTGCTTTGTTTGAGATCGTTTGGAAACAAGACTAACATCGGTAGTGAAGCAGGAATAACGTGGGGAATGTTTATGTTATGTTTCTTGTTCAAATTCTTCTAAACTCCAAACCCACGGAGTTGATTTCCCTGAGCCTCACAGTTAAGTCACCAAATTTAGCCAGTCCCACGAATTAACCAGGTGTGTGTAGGGCGTGCGTACTCAGCATAGGTGCATTTTAAAGAGTAAAAGCGATTACAGATGGTTTCTCCCAGAGCTGTAGTCTGCATTTTATCCTGTTCTCATGAGGGTCCCTTAGCTAGCGTGGTCTTTCGTAGAAGTTATCGTTCCTTCAGTTTAAACCCCCACTATTTTTCTTTTCTTCCTAGGTACTTGGCCTCAAACTCCCTAATCTGCTAGGCCGTGCAGAAAAGGTGACATTTCAGTTTTCCTATGGAACAAAAGAAACTTCCTATGGCCTGTCCTTCTTCAAACCACAGCCCGGAAACTTCGAAAGAAAGTAGGAAGCCAAGCAGATCATTGAGTTCAGTGGCCTGGTTTAAAGTTAAGATAGCTGGCTTGTTTGTGAACAGAAACCGTGCAGAATCCGCTGACACTTCTGCCTTGTTACAACATGCCGTAGATTTTCTCATGAAGACAAACCCCAGAAAGTGTACTTTTTAGTCTGTTGATTTACATGTGTGCAAGTCGTAATCATGGTTTCAGCTTTTAAAGTTCTGTCCCATTGTCTCCTAGTTTCTCTGTAAACTTATATAAAGTTACTGGACAGTTCCCTTGGAGCTCACTTCGGGAGACAGACAGAGGAGTCTCAGCCGAGTATAGTGTAAGTAGCGTTTCTGTCATTCCCTTGGTGCACTGGAGGGGAACAACGGCAGCAAGATGGGGGTCGGCACGGAGAGCGCAGGCCTGTCGGTGGTCTGGCGCTTGGGGTGGTGGGCATTGTTGCTGGGGTCACCCCTGTTCTCTGCCCTCCTGTCAGGGCCTCCAGGCCAGCTGCCCCTTCACTGGCTGAGGGCTGACTGCCAGGGCCAGAGAGGGGCTAACCATCCACGGTGGCAGCTCTTCTGACTTGGTCAGATTTCCTCTGTGCTCCCGACTTCCTGCGACACCATCTCTTTATCCTTCCTTGTGTGCTAAAGCCGACAGCTTCTGAGACCCAGCAGAGGTGTTTCAGGTTCCCGAAAGCTTTCATCGTTAGCCTACACCTCAGGTGACTTCTAGCGGGATCTGACCCAATGCAGCAAATGGAATAACTGTCATTCGGCCACTTTGGCTTCATGGCGACCCTGCTCTTTTTCCCTTCACACGTCTCTGTTCCTCTCCGTGAGCTGGTCAGAAATGCCGGTTCAGGGGCCCTGCTGCCCTTCCGAGTCAGCAGCTCTGGGAACGGGGCCCAGGAAATGGTTTTAGCTCCTACCCGCAGCCCTTGGACCGATTCTGGTCCTAGAAGCCTGTCGAAGCCTTGTCGTCACTGCCTGGGCTTGATGTGGCACCTGCGGGCACAGCGGCCGCTCACACTCCTCATCCCTGCAGACCAGGCTCAGGGGAGGTGAGCACTGACGCAGGCCACGTGGACACGGCTGAGGACGGAGCCGGGAGCCGTTCGCTTCACTCTCTATTCTCCACGTGGCCGCCTTTCCTGGTCCGAAGAGAGTAGCTCTCAGGCACCTTTCTGCCCCTATTGGAGATGCAGAAGGGGACACCGTGGCGGACACTGCTCTCTCCAGCCCCCATCCTCCAGCAGGTCTCCAGGAGCCATCAGTATGGCCATCTGTCGGGGGGGTGTCCCCTTCTATCTCTTTTTCCTAAGCCTTTTTGAAAGAGCAGCTTCTTGGGTGGTAGGAATGCCTGTGCATCCACGTGGAGTGGGGGTGAAGGCGTGCGGTGTTGGGGCCGCCCCGGGAGGTCCCTGCTGGAGGGGAGAGGGCAGTAGAGCCACCGAGTGCTCGAGGCTGGCAGCCCTGAAGTCGAGAGCTGAGTCCCTGGAGGAGAGGACCGTATCCTCCTGATTTGTGTCTTCGGTGCCGACACAAAGCCAGGGCTCACTATGCACACAAAAAGGTGCCACCTGGCCCCTGCCTCATCTTCCTGACCGTGACTCCAGGGTCGTGAGATCCGTGTCCTCTGAGTCAGCGTTTCTCTTGTGAGGAGCTACCTCGTAAGGGAGGAGCCGGTGCACGGCGGCTCTGCGTCTTCCTTGGGCATCTGGGAACGAGCTGCCCCAGGTGGCCCCACGCGAGCGAGGCTGCCCCCTTCCCCGCCATGCTCTGCTCCCCCAGTGCATGGCTCGGTGCCTTATGGGGGTTTGATAAGTGTGTTGAAGTGGGTGCCTCCAAGTTCTCACCCTGAGACCTGGATGGGGGCCCGAGGGCTACAGCGGCTGCTGGGCGTGGGCCTCAGGCTGGGGAGTGTGAAGTGACCTGGCTTCTTTGTAAGAGTGGCATCATTGTTGTCCTTTCCGAGGCCAACAGTGAACCTCACTCACTGTTCAAAACAGTGTGGGCGTTTCTTGGAGGTGGACCATCTAGCACAGGCTGTGCTGGCTTTGGGGAGGGGCCAAGCTGAGAGGCAGGTCCCATGGGCCTGGACCCCAGAGTTCACTGGCTCAGGCCCCCGGCTGCAGGAAGGGGGCTCTTCACTCACCTCGCCCCTCCCTGGGGCTGATGTGGGGCATCATGGTCGCCTGGCCTGGCTTCAGATAAGGGGCTGGGAGGGCCGGGGTTGGGGGTGTGCTAGGTGGTCTTTGGGTGGAGAGGAAACCTGTCAGTTACAAAGTGGGTGCAGCCTTCAGGCAAGCAACCCCTCCCCGCACCCAGAGCACAGTCCGGCCACCGTGCGGAGTGGCGCCCCCTTCTGTCACAGTGCGCTCGCCTCCCGCCTTCCGTCCCTCCCTCCCCCTTCTTTCCCTCCCTCCTGCCTACCCTTAAAAAGCAGTAGCTGTTAGTTAGTGACTTAACGAGCCCTCCATCTGAGGCCCGGCTTGGGACGGCCTGCCTTCGTCCAGCACCCAAAGTTTGTCGTTCCCCGTGTGTGCTTGCAGTTTCCCGTTTGGAGGACCAGCCACACCGTCAAGTGGGAGGGCGTGTGGCGGGAGCTGGGCTGCCTCGCCCGGACAGCGTCCTTCGCCGTCCGAAAAGAAAGCGGCCACTCGCTGAAATCGTCTCTTTCGGTGAGGACCTTTCTTGCTCGGGGGAGCATTGAGGTGTTTCGCTGCAGCCATGCTGTACGTTGGGAAACCAGCCTGGTTTCACCAGCAGCGGGACGGATCAAGAAGTGCCGCAGATTGGGTCACTCGGTCACTGACCAGCGCTGCCTGGTCATTTTGTGAATTTAGGGACACCACCTCGTACCCTTTTCCCTAAATAACATTGGTGGTCCTGGGGAGAGGGGTATTAACAGCTGACGGTGGGGTTTTAGTCACCGCTGGCTGCGCTGACTCCGGCCAGGGCGTGGAGGGAACCCAGTGATGGGTCGTGACCTCCCACCTCACGAACAGGGATCGTTGGTCCCGGCCTCTCAGTTCCCTTGGACGTCACACGGTGACGATGCGACACCCCTCGCAGGGCGAGGTGGCGGGAGGGTGGCGGCGCGCTCAGCACGGGGCCCAGCGTGTCGTTGGCGCTCCGTGAGCGCTGGGCGTCTCACAGACCTGTCTGAAGTGAAAACACCCAGCACGTGTCTTGCAGCACGCCATGGTCATCGACTCTCGGAACTCCTCCATCCTTCCCAGGCGGGGCGCGCTGCTCAAAGTCAACCAGGTAGGCGTCCTCGCCCCCGACCTCTGCCCCCCGTGGCCGGGTGGGGCACGCAGAACACTCACATCTTCAACACCGAACGTATTCCTTTAATTGCAGAAGCCGTTCTAGAATGGCTTGCGAGGGGGGCCGTCCACGCTGGGTTCCTCCGCTGGAACCGCCCCTGTAGCGCAGTCTTCTGCCTCACACCGTGTGGAGCGGGGGAAGGTTCTGGGCTCCTCGATGGTGCCTCTGAGCAGTCCTGGGGGAAAGTGATGCGGCGGGGTGCGCCCCCAGCAAAGAGCACCGCAGCCCAAGGCTGTGACCCGCTGGTCTGCCGGGGCTGGGCAGGCGGTGCCGGGAGGGCAGGGGAGCCGGCCGCCAGGCTGCGTGGGGCACCGGCGCCCCGCGTGTGGGGCCTTCGCTTTCAGAGGGGCAGCTGGAAACCAGCTCGAAACTTGCTGTGAAGTGTGCCAGAGGGCGAAAGGTTGGCTAGTTTTTTCCCAAACACTGATAAGGCCACATGAGCCATATCCGTGGCAAGCTCTATAATAAATGTTCACGTTGCCAGCGCTTTCTCTGACATGCAGGACCCTTACACTCTAGCCATCCAGTGTGTTTGGTGATTCTGTGTCAGTCCCCCGGTACCACCTAGAATGAGCGGGGTACAGCTTCCAGGAGGCAGAAGTGGTCTGTTGCCTTTCTAAAGATACCAAACAGCAAAATTAAATGGCAACTGCACTGGCATCACTTAGTAAGCTGTCTGTTCCGTTCTCACGGTGGGTTCTTCCCCGCAGGAGCTGGCAGGCTACACCGGAGGCGACGTGAGCTTCATAAAAGAAGATTTTGAGCTTCAGTTGAATAAACAACTTGTATTTGATTCAGTGAGTATCTAGCCAGAAAGTCGTCACCTGCATTTATATCCCTCGTTCCTGGCGCCTGAGGTCCCGAGCACCTGAAGCCCTGGAGTGGGTGCCTAGCACATTCGCGCTGGAAACCCAAGTGCTGTTCTAGCCCTAGCCAGGCGGGCGGGCTCTCTGGGGGAGGTGGTCTCTGCTCCCTTCAGAAGGGATCTGTCAGTCGTTTTATACCTGTTCACCGTCCGGGGCTGTCAGGGCACTGTGGCCGGAGGCCCCGTCCTCACCCCACAAGGTCACGTCCGTTGAAACTCGGTGTCTTCATCTTAGTTAGCCGGGTCTGCAGGGCTTTGGGTGCTTCCAGGAATTTGGCTGTTCGTCCAGTTTGGTTCAGTTTCTGCCAACTCACTCGGGAGTGAGGAGTAAGTGACCGGACTCTGCCCGAGGCAGAGGAGACCCCGGCTTGTCGCCAGTCTTCTCGGTGCCCAGGCAACGGGGACAGCTCTCCACCCCGCTGCTGGTGCCTGTGCCCTTAGCTTCCTTAAACTTGGAGCCAAGGACTGAGTTTTAGTGAAATGGCACACGCGTCTGTTTCTAGAACGCTTATTCTGAGGTCACTTGTCACCGGTGGCTCCCGGTCAGTCCTGGGCTCAGTTTGGTTCCTGCCTTTCCGCTGCCGCCGCTCTCCCAGAAGCCCCTCTGTTGTCCAGTTCAGCGAGCTCGTTCAGCCCCCTCCCCGCGCTCTCCGTGGCCCTGGACGCTGTCCTCACTGGCCTCTGTCGTGACTGCTTGCACGCTTCACTTGTCCTCGGCCCTTCCCCGGCATGCTGCACTCCGCCTCCTGAATGTGTCCCCGCGGGTCCTTGTGGAGACGTCCTGCTGCCTGTCCTCCCTGAGGGGTTCGCGCACCCGCTGGTGGCAGCTGCCGTCTCTGCTCTGGCCCCTGGAGACTGAATGTCTCGGCTCTGTTCTGCGGGCACTTCAAGCTCAATATGTCGGAAACCATTGCTCCTGGAGTCTGTGCCCTGCCCCTGAGCTCCGGACCCCGCTGACTTGCACAACTGCCCTTGATCTCTAAGTCCTCGCTCTCGAAGCCCCCGAGCACCAGGTCTTGTCTCCTCAGTCTCCATCATGTCACCCATGTCTCTGCTACTCTATCGTGGCAGTGATGTCACTTCCAGATGAGTCTCTGCTCCTCCTCTCCCCAGCCCAGCCTTCCCCTTCTCCCCGCAGACGTGCCGGCCTTTCCGAAACGCAGACCTTCCAAGCTCGCGCTCCTGCGTGCGGTTCGTGCTCCTGGCACAGTGCACGCAGCCTCTGATCTCGTCTCTGTCCCTTCTCCCTGTGCGGCTCTGCCGACTGCTGCTGCTTTCCCAGAAGGGCCGGGCTCCCTCTTACTTCCGGGCACTTGTTCTGCGTCCTCTGCCTTTATTCAAGGGTTCACTGGCCTCTCGTCCTCTGCCTTTATGGCTCTGGCACAGGCGTGTCTCCTGCAGGCTGCCTACGACCTCTGGGACCGGGTGGGGCTTCCCCACTGCGCTCATGATTCCTGTGCTTATCTTGGGGGTCTCCCCCATCACCCGCCCGCTCACCACTCACCCAGCCACCCACCCATCCGTCTCACGTATATACCACTGCCTGGCACTGTCTGGGCACTACACGTGCCTCAGTAAGTAAAACACCGCTCCTACTCTGTTTAGAGGGAGGCCCACGGTGAATACCTGCATACGTCATTGAGCAGGCGAGGCGGCGATCCTTTCTAACGAGAAAGCAGTAAAGGAATAGAAGTGGCCCGCAGGGGGTGCTGTCCTCCTTGAGATGACGTGGGGTGTCTTCCATGAGACACCAACTGCACACAGCCCGGTGCTCTGGGCAGGAGCACCAGCCTGTTCCCCACAAGTGGGACGCTGAGCCCGGGCGGAGTGACGGGGACAGAGGGCGGTGAGGGCGGAGGCGGGCCAGCTATCACAGGCCTTGGGGGCCTTGGTGTGGCCTCTAGTTTCTGGTTTTAATGGAGGGAGCGCTAGGATCCCGGGAAGAGCCTGATGGGGGTGTGGCGCCTACTTGAGAAGGTCGCCCTAGTGGCCCTGTGCTCTGGCCGAGGCGCTGCGGCTGGTGTTGAGGGGAGAGGTCAGGTGCCATCAGAGACCTGGTGCCCTGTCCGCTTAGAGATGGTGCCTCAGCGCTGGGCGATGCTGCTCCGGGCGTGAGCAGGAGAGAAGCGGTCCGGAGGAGCCCTAGGACGGGCTGACATCGAGGTGTCAGGAGGGGGTGAGCAGCAGGGGACGCTGAGAGAGGTGGTTGGCGAGGGGCCGGAGGGCGCGGATCAGACAGTGCTGCGCCAGCCGGCTCGGGAGCTGGATTTTGTCCTCCTCGTGGGACGGGGATGAAGAGGCTGCGAGCAGGGGACCGGGCTATCTCCTGTGCGGGCAGAAGGACGTCCGTGGAAAGCTGGGGACCATTCCCAGTGGAAAGGTTACTTAAGAGAGAGTGAGTTGAGGCCGGAGGCGGGCGTGCGAGGCCCCTCTGAGGCGTTGGGAAGTGCAGCGCGGCTGGCGCTGGCCCGCAGGGCTCGCTGGGTTTCCCTCGGGATCGAGCCTCCTACAGCCCGTGTGTGTGCTGGCAGGGGACCCAGCGACAGAAGGGGACTGGGGGAGAAGCGGGTGCGGGCAGGGGCGTGGGGCGCACAGAGCAGGCCGAGGCAGTGGGAGGGGTGCTGCGGGCCGCGCTTCTGTTGCCAGTGGAGGTTCCCAGTGGAGGTGGCAGAGGGAGGGACAGTGCCCAGCGTGGAGTCCCCACAGGCCAGTGGGCAGGAGCACCTGGGCGCCTCTGAGGGCCAGTCGGGGTTAGAGTCCCATTTCAGAGGAGCTGCCGGCATGATGGCGGGCACAGCTGAGGGAGGGGTGGTGTTACCAGGTCTGGGGTGGTGCCAGGTGAGAGATGCAGGTGAGGTGGGGACAGGCAGGTGAGTGCTGGTGATGGGCCGCGGGAACTCAGCTGGTAAGGAGGGCCGTAGGGACGAGAGGGCCAGGCCCGGGACAGGGGATTTGGAAGGCCCGCTGATGTTGAAGGGTTAGGGAGTTGGTGCTGGGGGGTGACTGGGAGCCGAGGGCAGCAGGGATGGGGGGCAGGCTGGGCCTGTTCTGGTGGGGAAGGAGTTCTGATTAGCGCCCCATCCCGGCTGCTCTCAGGCCGAGCGAGCATTGGGGAGGAGGGCAGGTTCGCCAGGAAACTAGGAGCTCTGACTCCCTCCCCTTCCGTCCTGCTGAGGTGGCATCAAGGCCATCTCACTGCGACATGTGAGCCCTGTGGGCCCTGCCTGTCCTGCCAGGGTGGCTGCCCTCCGAGGGTGGGCCGTCTCTGGTTCCCTTTTTGCTCTGGTCCAGAGCGCGTGGGCGGGTAAGGGGAGCTGTCTCCGGGAGCACGCCGAGCCCCGGCCCCTCGCCTTACCCTGTAGCATCTGTCAGGCACCAGGCTCAGAGTGGATGTTTCCCGAATGCTGTTGCACAAGGAGCCGCGTTATCAGAATGGGCTGCTTAGATCGGCAGCGCTGCCCACTCTCTGCCCCAGTTTTCTCCTGTAATCCTTCCAACTGATGCTCTAAAAAGACACGTGAGCAGCTTCAAAGGACATAGGAATTTGCAAGTTAGAGAGGACATGAGATGAGCAAAAACGTGGAAGCGAGCTCAGGAGATACGGGGGCCCATGTGATAAAGATGCGGGGCGAGGTGGCCCAGAGAGCTCGCTGCGGTTTATAGCTTGCTGTGCGCCACTTAGGCGTGAAGGCTGGACCCTGATCTAAGATTAGGTCACTGCCTCCGGTCTGTTAGGGAGGGGCTCTGTCCGTGAGGGTTGGATTGGAAGCTGCTTGTCTCTTGCATTTCTCAGTTGTAGGAGCACTGTAGCCTCTGCCTGCTTTCATCTGCGATGCCCTGTGTCCTTAATCCTCATTGCTCTGAGACCAAGTCCTAGCGGCCTGAGCAGGTGTAGAATCCGTTGTCTGGCCCCCGTCTCCCCTCCACACCCAGTCAGGCCGTGGCTGGTCCCTCTGGGCCTGCCTTCTCGTGGAAGAGGGAGCTTCCCTGTGCCTGAACGGGAGCCATGCCCTGCTCGCGTTTGGCCTGTTCCTTGCTCGTGCTTGGTATGCCTTTATTTGGAATTTAGAGTTGTAAGTTTTTAAAGTATCCACAAAACACTTTGAACTGTACTTCAAGTGCACGAGCCTGGTTTCTCTTGTAGCCCTAACCCGCCCCCCGCTCCCCTCGGCTCAGCACGTGACCAGTGACCAGACTCAGGTGTGTTTTCTATCTGCGAATGCTCATCGGAATGAAAGAAATGCCTGTTTATATTTCGATAGGTTTTCTCAACATCTCTCTGGGGTGGAATGCTGGTACCCATTGGTGATAAACCATCCAGTATTGCTGATAGGTGAGTAATAATAAATGAATGGGTCATATGCAGTTCTTTTAGGTTGGTTTCTTGTAAGATATTTTAGAGAAGTTTATTTAAGAGAGCGAATATTTCCACTTTACTTTCGTTTTTATGTCTAAGTTATTTTCAAAATACCTAGCCTATCTCAAACTTAACATTTTTTGCCTTTTATGAGGATGTTAACTTTATTATATTAAAAAATTTATATCCTCTTTTCAGTATGAAAAAATACAATTCATACGTATTGCGGAAATATAAAAATAGAGAAACACTTAGGGAAGTAAAAAAAGTTTTGCTCAGTGATAAGTGGGTCGACATTTGGGATTACTTCCTTTTAGTCTATTTTAGTTTATTTCCGTGGGTGTGTGTTCATGTATGCGAATATACGTATTAATTTACATATGCATCTATATTAAATGGTTAATATGCTGTATCTTGTGTACAGATTTGTGCCCTCCCTGCTTTTTAAAAAGTTTTGAAGAAATTATAGAGTAAACCATTCCCCACGTCGTCAGAAATTTTTCATAAGCAGCGTTTTAATGTTTCGCTCTTTGCACGTAAATAACACTCTGAAGAATAAGACTTTGTAAATAATTTTTGTTCATTTTATTTTCTGACAAGAGATTCTTAAATGTGGAATTACCATCTCAAACGCACATGAACATTTTTAAGGCTCATAAGGGAGATTGCTGGAGCCTCCGTTTTAGAAAGCCGGCAGCAGTTTACGTTCCTGCCAGCAGGCTGTGGAGTTGTCCTTGTTGCTCTGAAATACTGATAATCGTTCTTGAGGGCAAGAAGCTCTTTCTTCAGCCTCGCATTAGTTAAAACGAAGTTTAGCTTAAACTAGTTCAGCCTTTCGGGATGGCACTTGGGAAGTATGAAAACCTTTAATTTCTAAACTCTGGGACCTGACAGTTTGGCCTCCATAAATCTGATTTACAGAAATACATTTATAAGTGTACAAAGATTTGTGTGTAAGGATGTCCATCGTAGGTAGCATTGTCGGTGAAAGCACAAATTCTCAAGCTGCCAGTAGGGAAATTATTAAATTCAGACATAACCGTTACAAAGAAAACTATGTAGGTATTAAAGAGAACGAGATTCGGCTTTTGCGATGTTGACCACGCTCCTGTGTGTCTTCCGCTCCTGAAGCGTTCCCGCACGTGACGGTGTCGTCAGCGACGCAGCGCTGGCGTCAGCCCGACTGCATGCTCCCTGTGCTTCCGTTGTGTCACGCAGACTTCCTCCGATGGCCTTCCCCTGACTTCTGCCGTTCTGTTCCAGGTTTTACCTCGGGGGACCGACAAGCGTGCGCGGCTTCAGCATGCACAGCGTTGGGCCACAGAGTGAAGGTCTGTCCTCCCCTACGGCACTGCCACGTCGAAGTTAGGGTCACGTCTCATCGTTCAAAAGCGCGCGTTTGTTTTTGCAATTCCTAAATAAGGGCTGCCCATGCGTCACCGCCGTGGCATCACGTCACAGGCGTGGAAGGGTATATGCTGAGCGAATTGTAGAAAAGGGAGAAGACACAGTTTGTGCCTTACAAAATGCACGGCGGCGGCTGGCGATCCCGTACCGGCGATGACATGCGTGAGCGTTTGGTTCAGGCATGCGTAGCTTTGTACTCGGGGTCCGTTTCGTTTCCATGCTGTTTTGTAACCTGTTTTTCCCGCCACCCCACAATAACGTTACAGGGAAAAGGTGTTTATTGGAATAAGTACTGAATCATTTTTAATTGCTGCTTGTTTTATCTTATCGACATGCTATAATTTTAAAAAATTAATTGATGTTAGTTATTTTTGAGAGCAGTTTTAGGTTTACAGAAAAGTAGAGCAGAAAGCTGTTCCCATGTGCCCCACGGTGCCCTCTCTTGGTGACATGTTGCATCGTGCGTTATGCTTGGCACAGTTGATGAGTCAATGTTGATGCATTATTATTAGTAACTGAATCCTGCAGTGCACGCTGGGGTTCGCTCTGGGCAGTGTAGTTCTGTGGGTGTGACAAATGTGTGATGGTATGCAGCTGCCATTACAGGGTCATACAGAAGTTTCGCCACCCTAAAAATCCACATCCCTCCATCTCCCCCCAGTTCCTGACACACACCGGACTTCTTCCTATCTGCATAGTTTTGCCTTTTCCAGAATGTCACAGAGTGTGTGCCCTCTTCCGACTGGCTTCTTTGACGAAGCAACGTGCATTTAAGTTTCCTCCAAGTTTTTTTATAGCTCATTTGCTCATATCTTTTTTTTGCTAAATAATATTCCATATAACATAATAAATAATAATCTAATATACCACAGTTTGGTTGTTGACCTGTTAAAGGTCACGTTGGTTTCTGGACACCCAGTTTTCGGCTATTATGAGTAAAGCCGATATAAACGTTCATGTGCAGGGTTTCGTTTGTACATAAAGTTTCAGTTCATTTGGGTGAAAACCAAGGTACACGATTGCCGAGTCATATGTAAGAACCAGCCAGACTGACTTCCAGAATGGCTGAAACATTTTGGATTCCCACCAGCAATGGATCGGAGAGAGAAAAACCTTGCCGTCGTTGATGGCTGCATGTTTCATCTTACTGCCGTGCCGTAATCTTTTAAACCAATCCCAAGTTTTAGAAACTTAGACCATTTTCTTTTTTTTATGATTGTAAAACAATGTCTCAGTGAGTAACCTAATGGAACCTTCGTACTCATCCGTAAGTTTTACTTTATCATATAATGTTACAGATGTGGAATTGCTGGGTCAAAGGATTTTGAATATTTTTAAGACTTTGTGTTGTTCTCTAGAAAGCTTTTCTCAGTCATAATCTCCAGCAGTGAGAATTCCTGTTTCCTGCAACCCTCTTGAACACTTGACATATCAGAAGTATCTCTACATGTTATGAAAAACTTCAAAAACATCATTTAAATGGATGCATTTCCATTTTAAAATATTTTGCCCTAATTTTTGTTTTTTTAATATCTTTGTTGCTTCCATTTTATATTATTACAAATAACGATTACCCCATGCATAACTTTTGTACAAAATATACTTTTTAACTTGTTTTTATAGTACTTTATTTGCATGTCATTTTTTAAGAAAAGTAATTTATAGATAGTCTTTTTCATTATAAGCAAGTATTTATCATATAGTGACTATATAAAAGTTTAGGAGTCTTACACTTGCTTGAAAATTAAAACACAATGATATTCCACTTAATTTGCTATAAAATGGGCCATTGGTAGGATTCTATGGATAAGAATGTAAATTGCTGTAACTTTAGACAAGCAATTTGCCAGTATGTATCAAGAGCCTAAAATATATATGTTCAAGGACTTTTAATAATAGCCCCAAACTGGAATCCAGAAACCCAAATGCCCATCAGCAGTAAAATGGTCGGGTGTCTTCACCCTGTGGGATGTTCCACGGCAACGAGGATGCACAGGTCAGTCACTGGCTGAATGACGCCAGGAACCGGCCTCAGAAACGTGCGGATCAAAGAGCCAGATCCGGGCGGCGCGTGCTGTCTGCTCCACGCATGTGCCGGGGGGCAGCAGTGCAGTGGGCGTGCCCGGCGCGGGTGCAGGGTCGTGATTAGGAAGGGGAACGTGGCCCTCCGGGGCCGGCACATGCCTGCCTCTCCCTCCGGGTGCTCGGTGCGTGGCGTGTCTGCGCAGAAAGGACTGAGCTGGGCACTTAGGCCATGTGTGCTTTCCTACCTGCGTGTTATACATCAAGACAGGGTTTGAAATGTGTGTGGACAAGGAAATTTGTCACAGCTTAATGGCCGCTCTCAAGACGTTGGACACCAATATGATGACAGTAGTCGAGAAAAGACGTTCAATTATTATATGTATGATTATTCAGGCTGGCAGCAAATCACATTTGCATTTAATATGAAGTATTAGAGGAAAGTGTTCCAACACGTCAAACTAAAAAAAGCAGGACCAAAAGCTATATATGTAAAATGACTCACATTTTATTTTCTTATTTATAATTACTCATTATAATTCACTGGACCAGAGATACCAGGGTATTAGCTGGTTCTCTCTGAAGGGTAGGAATTAGAGATTTTTTTTATTCTTTTCCTTGCCTGTATTTCTCAGATTTTTTGCACCGAGTATGTTACTGTTACGATCAGGTGAAAAAAGACACAGGTGAAAAAAGACGGGCGGTTGCCGGGAAACCGAAAGCAAACACAGCTGACCTCGTGTCATCTGCCCATTCCCTGTTTCCTCTAGAACTTCAGGATTAAAAGGGACTCAGGAGATTCCGGAGTCTCTATGTAAATAAGCAGTTGATCCCGCGAGGTTAATCGTGGAGACAACCCGTTTTTCTTGTTCGTGGTATGTCATTTTGTATTAAGGGTACTAAGACAATTCGTAAGTAGTATTTTGCAGAAGGTGTAGATTGTTCAGGGATTGGTATCACTTTAACATTATGCCATTTGTAGTTAAGATGGAATGGGTAGGAGCATTTTCAGAAACAGCGCGTGTGCGTTCTCGGGGGACAGTCACGACCCCAGTGGCCATGAACCTTTAATGGCGATTAAATTACAAAGGGCACACAGCCTCTTTGCAGATGTGGAGCTGGAACAGTTTCCTTGGAGTGAGTAGAGGACACGATGTGTGTTGTGCTGAATGGTGTGCGCAGCCACTTCCAGGAAGCGCGGAGACACGGTCCGCGTTTCGTCTGGGTCGCGGCCTTGGAGTTTGGGCAGAGAGGCGCATTTCATCTGCCAGGTAGAAGTGATCTGGTAATCGGCAATTGTGGAAAAGGGGGTTTCTATGAGTTCACTTGTTTTATTTCAAGCATTTTACAAACGTGATGAATTTCTGATTTCATTCTTTTCTAAACTACACTAGCATTTTTTTTTTTTTTCCCGGTTAAGGCAAAGTATAAAATAAACCAGGAAAAAAAAGAAAGGCTGTTTAAAATGAGGCTGCCAGCGGCCGGGGTTGAAGAGCCGCGACCCAGAGCCCAGTGTGTTGCGCACAGAGCACACGTCTCGCTGGTGTACGTCGTGCGGTGTCGATGCGACTTTAAAGTTGTGAGACCGTGTTTTGTCTTTGCTCAGGGGACTACCTGGGCGGAGAGGCGTACTGGGCCGGCGGCCTGCACCTGTACACCCCGCTGCCCTTCCGGCCGGGCCAAGGCGGCTTTGGGGAGCTCTTCAGGACTCACTTTTTTCTCAACGCGGGAAATCTCTGCAACCTCAACTATGGTAAGCCCTGGACTATTAGAAAGCGTTATGGTTGACCTCATGTTTAAAAGCACAGTACCCGAAGAGTGTCTGTCTTTTTAGATCACGTCATCTTTAAATCTAGGGACTGCACCTTACTTAAAACAATTCCTAGGACACCTGATACAGTGCCCAGAATAAATTGTTGGTTGAATCAATGAAGCATGCATGAAGAATCATCACTGAAGGCTGTCTTGCAGAGAAAAATTTATTATTTACTCAGCAAACATTTCCTGGGCACCTGCTCTCTGCCGGTCATTAAGCCCCGGAGCTGAGTGTGGTTTGGCCCTGTCCTCGAGGCGCTCAGGGCCAGAGGGGACCCGCAGCAGACGTTTCCAGCCAGCGGGATGTGAAGGGGTGTCTGGGGTGTGTCACAGAAGACAAGGCCCTCACACCACAGCTTGGTATGGGGTATCCTGGGGGGTCGAGATGGGGCAAAGGAGTAGAATGTGACAGGTCCAGAGAATGAGAAGGCGTGGCTTTCTCATTCTCTTTGAATATCTAGGCCCGGTTTTAAAAATTCCCGTAGGGCACACAGCAAGTGAGAGAGCCAGGGCTTGCCTGAGGACAGCTCTGAGGGACAGGGGCCACACACCGTTGGTCACACCCCCGGTTCTCGTTTCAGGGGAGGGCCCCAAAGCGCATATTCGTAAATTGGCCGAGTGCATCCGCTGGTCCTACGGAGCTGGCATCGTTCTACGGCTCGGCAACATCGCCCGGCTGGAACTGAACTACTGCATCCCCATGGGCGTGCAGCAAGGTGACAGGTAGGTGCCGGGCCTTCTCCACGCGCACACCGCACTTTCTTGTAATTTCGTTTTGTTTCGGACTAGTTAATCATTTCATCGGTGGCCTCTGAGATCCAAGTGTTAGGAGAAATTGAAGAATTAGCAAAGGAGTGACAACACCTACGTTTTCCTCCACTGGGTGTTTCTCTGTCCAGTTGGGAAGAGAAACTGCGATGTGTTTCCGTCTCCCACCTCACAGTTCGCACTCACCGTCGTCACGGGAGCCCCTCGAGCTGTGCCTGGAGGACCTGACGGGCCTCGTTGGTCCCGCTCGCTGGGCAGAGCGAGGCGGTGCCAGTGGGGGGCACTGATCCCCCGTGGGGACGTTGTCGTTATCGCTGCTTCTACTACCAGTTCCCTCATGTGGTGGGACCTAGGGCTTCAACATTCCATTTCGGGGGGACACAAACGTTCCCCCGGTTCCCCCGTGACGTAGCGTTTTCTGTTGTCCCTCATCGCTTTCGTGCGCGCACACAGCACTCTAAGCTGTGTCCTTTTCTCTTTGATGTTCTGTCTACACTTTCGTTGCCACCAAACGGAGTGCTGAGTCACAGCCCAAGTTCCAAGCTGGAAGTCATAGTTTGTCCCGGTTTAAGGAAATGCTGTGCTAGTGTTAACTTCTGCTGTCTTCTGCTGCAGTGGAGTAGGCGATGGCACGTTTTAAAGGGTGGCGTGTCAGCGAGCTTTCATAAAGCGTGAGTACTTAGGTGCGGTTCGGTGTCAGCCGGCTCGACCCTTTACGGTTATGGGTTTGGTGGAACCTGCCCTTCACGGTCGCTGGAGGCCGATTCCGGCTACGTCGCTGCCGCGGCTGCGGTGATGACAGAGCCCATTCCCCAGCACCTTCGCTGACAGCAGCTGCTCTGACAGCTGTTAATTCACCTCCTCACCTTGCCTGTTCATACAGTGCAAAAGCTGAAAGGGTCTGGTCCCCAGGATGAGCGCGTGCCTGGAGCCCAGCCAGATGTAGCACAGGTGAATGTAACGTTCGTCCTCTGGCTGTGTGCCCCAGGGCGAGCCGCCCAGCCTCGCTGGGTCTCCGATTTCGTGTCCATAGGATGGATGGTGGCGAGAGCAGCTGCTTTGCAGGTTGGAGGCCTGGATGAATTAGCACACAGAGCACTTAGAGCGGTGTCCGGTGTGTCGTCAGCACCGTAGGCTCAGTTCTGCGTTGTGCGGTTGCTCTACTCAGGGCGCCAGCTCCCTCTCACATAGGAAGCCGCAGGGTTCCTTTGCGGGGCAGTTCCCTCCTCCACTCACTGCCCCGTTGGCGCCACCTGGCGGCTGTGTTGGGACATGCTGCGGGTGGGTGTTGCATCCTGATTGCGGAGACGTGAAATATGAAACAATGGGCACTTTTTTCCTAGAGCAAGGTTTGTGCCTTAGGTAACGTTCTAGAAAAGGTTCCTGAAACCTTTATGATCTTGGGTGAACGAGGCTAGTTTTGCAAGGTGCTTTCTGTGAGGCCTGTTTCCAGCACAGGTATGACTAGGGGGAGGTGAATTTTTGCAGGGAGCAGTATATGACAGCCATTGGAGCCTCCTAACGTTTGGGAATTTTGACTTCCTGGGATCTTGGTAAAGGCAGATCCCGACTCCTGGGGTCTAGGCTGGGCCTCGGACACCAACTCCTGTCCCTGTGAGGCTGACGCCTGGGGGCAGGGTGGGTCTGATGGCTCCCTGTCCTGAGAGCAGTTGCAGTTTTGGGGCAAGAAGGCGATCTTTGGTCTTCATTGAATGCTCGCCACGTGTAAGACCAAAGCTGAGCACTTGGTTTTATTTTATTATGTAAGTCTCAGCAGCGCCCTGTAGCAGAGGTGCCACCTGTTAGGACAGAGGGAAACCGAGACTCAGCAGTGGTGTCAGTCAGGGCAGCGGCAGAGCCACGCCCAGCGGAGGCCGGGCTTGTACTTGTCTTCCGCCCCCAAACACAAGCCGACAGGAAACCCACACCTCCCACCTCCCACCCCCCACCCCCGCTCTTCTGAGAACTACGATGGCTGTCGCTTTCATCCCACACTGGGCTTTTCTGTACCGAGATTAGCTGTGGGACGATAAAAGTCACCTTTCCTCCTGGCTGATCTCCCTGGTGGAGCTTTTCGTTCATACTGTAATTCTGTACGAACTTCCTGTCTCAGGAAACACACAGGCCGTTTCCACGATGAGCAACCGGAGCCTGTGAGCTGTGCTCAGCGTCAGCCCAGACTGTGCAGGGGCCCAGGCTACACGTGTTTCGCTGCAAAGAATCCAGAAGCACGTGCGGGTGGCCCACTGCAGCTGTGCTGTCCGTCTCACAGTCGTGAGGGTCAGCCCCCGGGAGCTGGCTGCTGCCCTCCTGGCCGGTGGTGATGGCAGTGGACCGCAGGCCTGCCCTGTCACTCTCTGGCCGCGTGACTTGGAGCACGTCCAGTGGGCTCTGGGCCTCCTGTCCTTCAGACTGAAAAATGGGGCTCAGCTCCCCCTGTGGGGCTGTGCTCACTGTGGCTGCATTGTTGTCGGAGGCCACCGGATGTCAGTGTGCCCCAAGAAGTCCCTGCCGCTGCCTTTGGGAGCCGTGTGTGATCGACCCTTTCTCACTTAGGCGTGTCATTGACTCTTCTCACAGAGAATGGCCGCATCCTCTTTCCAGCGTTGCTTCTCTCTCCAGGATAAAGTCAAAAACTAGGTTTCAGAGATCAATTTCAAATGTTGTTTCTTCTGGAAGGAAGAAGGCTGCTGTGCGTGACATTTAAAGGCCAGATCATAAGGAAGCCAGCTCCCCCGGCCCCGGGCTGCGTGGGCTGCGAGGCAGCTGCTCTGTGACCGTGGAGGTCACAGTGCTTGTTGCGTACACATTGCTCCGTGTATCGGGCGGCCTGGTGCTCTTGAGTGTCGCACCCACCTTCACTCAGTCTGTGGCATCAGAACTGGAGTGTCGCGAAGTCTGCGTGATGGCACCAGAGCTTAGCCCGGCTTCCGAAATTCCGCGGCCGGCCGGCGGGGAATTCCGTGCGCGCATCGCCCACAGACCTCCCCACGGTCGGTCCGGCAGGCGCGCGACGATTAGGCTTCCCGACCTTTGCAGAAGTGGGAACGGTTTAGAAATGCTTGCTGAACTTTGTGCTGGAGGCAGTTCGTGGCACCATCGTTTGGGCGCCAGCAGCATTCTGTCGCCCCGTGTCGTGCTGAATGCGGTCTCTGGAGACGGTGACGAGGGAGGCAGGTGTGCCGGAGGGGCAGGCCTCAGTTTGTAAGGGAGGAAAGAAGGGAGCCTCCGGGCCAGAGGGCTTGCGGGCTGTGGAAGGGGCCGGGCCAGCAGCGCAGGCCACAGTGGTGATTTTATGCCCTCCTTTTAGGATATGTGACGGCGTCCAGTTTGGAGCTGGGATAAGGTTCCTGTAGCTGTCGCAGAGCACCCTCCAGCCCCTCCGGGACACGCTCCGGGATTCGGCAGCAGTGGGTCATGGCGCCACACACGTCCTGTGCACATCACGTTCGAGTGATGCCTCGACTACAGCCCTCGCGGGAAACTGTGTCAATAAATTTTAAAGACAAACACTCAGGTGCGTTGTGGGTACGATTTTCTTTGCCCGACCGGCGTGTCCCACACTGGCTTCTCCTGAGGACCCCAAGCAGGGGATGGGAAGGGTCGCGTTGTCACATGTTCGCGTGCATGCACCTGCCCACACAGAGTCCCCAGAGTCCCCAAATTCCCCATCTCCCGAGAGTCTTCGAGTCCGTGCCCGGTTGCCATGTGCCAGTGTTCAGCAGTGGCCCCAGGGGACCCTAGGCCTGACGCGCGGGGAGTGGCAGGGCCTGCAGTCACAGCACCGCGTGTTTGAGTCATTTCAATGTGTGAGCGGCATGGGAGAAAGAATCGTGTGTGACATCAGAGACACAGAGGCAAAGTGGGAAAACGTGTTCTCTGGAGAGTCGTAGCAACACAGGACAGCCATCTTCCGCCCGTAGGTCAGAAGTCCAGAATGGGTCTCCTGGGGCTGCGTCCCTCCCGGAGGCTCTCGGGGAGAATCCGCTTCCGGGCCTTTCCCGCATTGCAGAGGTGTCCACAGTCCTCGGCCGATGGCCCCAGCTTGTGTTTTCAAAGCCAGCTGCTTGGCACCTCGAGCCCCCCCTCTACGCTGCCTCGTTCTGCTTACAGCCCCTCGTGGTCGCGCTGGGCCCACCTGGACAGCCCAGGCCACTCTTCGTATTTTAAGGCCATCTGAGTAGCAACCTCAGTTCGACCTGCGACCACACTTCCTCTCGCCATGTTACATCACAGTCGCAGGTTCCAGGAATTAGAACATGGACATTTTCGGGGGGCCATTATCTTGCCTAACACACCTAGTATCTCTCAAAGTAATATTTTCTGGATATACTTAGGCACATGTAGAAAAAGTTTTTTTACAGTTAAACTTCCTTTGGATTCTTAAAAGACCAGTGCCACGTAGAGATGCCCAGGGCTGTGGAAGAGGCCTTTGGGCCTTGGCTGGAAAGCTTCACGGCTGGAGTTTTTCCCTCTGCGAGCCAGGGCTGAGCCCTGTCCCTTTCAGCCTTCCCCGTGACCCCGCTGCTCACTTCTTTGCCAGGTGAGCCCGGGGTTTCAGGAGCAGCTTGAGTCCAGAGGGGTGAGGGCCCCCGAGGGCTGTCCCCTCGCCGCCTGCAGGAATCACAGGGAGCTGGCAGAGACTGTGTAGGATGAAATGGTTTTACCTTTTTTGATAGTTAGGAACATGGGAACATGGCACTTTCTTCCCCTGAATTGTTTTATTGTTTACAGTTTCACATTTATGTCTTTGGCGAAATAAAGAAGCCACGTTCGAACACTGCCCTGTTCAGACTCTGTAAATTTAAGCGAAGTAAAATCCCAATAATACAAAGTCTCAGACAGCATGGCCTCTGAGAATTCATCTGCCGTCAGTGGAGAACCCGTTCTTCCAAAGACATCATTTCTGCAAAGGTGCATGTTTAATCAGGCGAGGCCAGGTTACCCCGGATGGCTGGCGCGGCTCCTTACTGAGGCACGTCGGGTCCAGCTGTCTCCACGTGGACGAGACGTGTGCCATTTGCTGACAGACTCCACGGGCTGCTCCCTCACAGGGCAGAGTGGCCGCACTGGGTGAAAACGAGCATTCCGCTCACTGTCAGGTGGTGGTCAGTGGGCAGGTGAGAGCATCAGGCCGGAAGCACTTCGCGGCCTGCTCTCCGCGAAGGGCCAGAAGCCCGGCCTGTTCACCGTGGGGAGCGGTTTTTCATAGCTGCTGTTTTAGAGCGTCAGATGTGACAGAAAAGAGACACGGAAAGCATAAGAAATGCCTCCGCAGGGTACCACCTGCCTCAGGGAGACACTGCATCTTAATTTCACTCCGTTTTTCTCTAAATGCCTGAGCCCTGGGGACTGGAACTGAGTTCGATATTTGTCTATTAACCTTTGAATGGGCCATGAAGCCAGCTACTCCTTGCGTGGAGAACACCATCGGCTCCCGTGCTGGACACCCGCAGGGTTAACCTTAAGCTACTTTAGTGATGGTTATGGAAAGAAAACGCACTGTGGGGTCACGTCCTCTGTTACCGTGGACTTGTGGTCCCTGTACACACACCGGACGACCTTGACGCACGTTCTCGTTGGCACCTGGCTCACCGAGCTGTGCCCTGAGCCACTGTGTGCCCGGTGGCTGTCTGCACGTCTGCTGATGAGCGAGAGCAGCCATCCTGCCAAATGCCGCAGTTACTGGAGCAAAGGACAGTCAAGTAGGCTACACTGATGGATACCGGCCACCGCCCAGCGGCCACACTTCCAGGCCCTTCACCATGATGTCCTTCCCACGGCCTGCTGCTCCTGAGGCCGAGAATTTTCTTTAGTTTGTGAATTTGTGCTTTTTTTTAAAGACCAGATAAACTTATCTTTCGGACAGTTAGAAAGGTCACCAGAGGGAAAACCGGGATCCCTACTCCAGAGAACAAAAACTGGAGAACCGCGTTTAAATAAACAGCATTTAAATCAGGAGACGACTCAAATCCAAATTTCTAGCTTCTCTTAGTCAACAGTTGGGTCTGATAGTACGAGGTCTTCACTTCCGCCCGCGACAGGGAGGCCCCTGGGAGGTGGTGTCCTTCAGCCTGTGTCGCCGGCCCTCTGGCTGCTTCTCTGGTCTAGTGTTCCTGCCTGAGGCTGATCAGGAGTGGAAGCATCAGATGTGGAGCAAGCTTTGGGGGATAACTTGGCAGGCGGAGGAGCAGTGAGCCCTGGAGTGGGGTGGGGGTGGGGCCTGGCTCGAGTCCCTCCCTCCCTTCCTTCCTCTGGGCCCCTGTTCGGCTTCCATCAAAGGGGAGGATGTTGGTTTAGCAGCTTTCCGGATCCCACAGCCCTCAGCCTCGTGGATGCTGCCTAAGGGTTTTCTGAGGCTTCCTGCCCCCGAGGCAGGTGCTCGCGGGCTTCTGACACCATAGATGGGTTGCCTGTTGCTGAATGTTGTATAGAAGGAGTGCACAGTAAGTACTTGTTTGCGATTCAGCCTGGACCCGAACCCCAGCTCTGTCACTAACTAGATACTGCGTCTTCTGCATCAATTATGGTGCTCTCCCACAAACTGCCTTTCCAGCCATCAGTATCCATTCGCAAAATATTAACACAGTTGACGAACTTCAACAGAACCACTTCCCAGGTAGCTTTTCAAAGCCGTTTACACCAGCGGTCTCCAACCTTTCTGGCCCCAGGGACCCGGGCTCCTGTGAGAATCTAGCGCCTAACGATCTGAGGCGGAGCCGAGGCGGTGATGCTGGCGCTGGGGAGCGGCTGCGGATACAGATGGAGCTTCGCTCGCTCACCCTCGCTCACCTCTTACTGTGTGGCCCGGTTCCTAACAGGCCATGGACTGGTCGGTACTGGTCCATATCCCAGGGCTCGGGGACGCCTGGTTTACAACATCCAACATCTGGACCCAGGAACGGTAGCTAAATACAAATCGTGGTTCTCAAACCTTTTGGTCTCGGGACCCCTTCGGGCCGTCAGGAATTGTAGAGAACCTCTAAAGAGCTTCTGTGCATGGGGGTTGGTACCAGGGCCGTATGGGACATTAAAACTGATGACTTAAAAAATGTGAGTACATTTGAAAAGGCCGATGACTTGCTAACGTAAGTAACGCTTTACGAGAAACGGACTTCCAAAACGCAGTGAGCGGAACCATCACGTTTGGGGTTTTGCGAATCCGCGGCACCGTCTTCCGTTTGCGTCATGAGTGCAAATGTGACTCCCGTGATCGCAGTCGCTAAACAACGTCTCAGTGTTATACTAAAAGTTGTTTTGACCTCACCTCCCCGCTGAAAGTCTCAGGACCCCCCTTCCCAGCCCCGGCGTCCCTGGACCGCTTTCAAGAACCACTGATTATCATCCAAAGCAAGTTAGTTCCGGCTGTGGGGGCCTCCCCAGATAGCGTTCTGATACCTGCACTGGACATCCGTGAGAGCGCCGCAGCGTGGACCCAGCGAGCAGCGTCTCACTCCCTCTGCTGAGGGACAGTCTGGGACTTTAAAACCCTCCTTTCATTACTAGACACATGTTCACCTCCCTGCCCTCGGGTCTCTTCTGTGAAAAGGGGCTGGGACACCTGTGAGTAGCAGGAGATGTCCGTAAAGCGCCTGCCACATAGTAGGAGCTGGACACTGCCCCCCGCATAGCCCTGGTGGGGGGCGGCGGGATGGGTGGGAGTGGGGAGGCAGGTGCGCAGCCTGGGCGTGCCGGCGGGCTCTGCCTCGCCTTGTACGTGCCATCCAGAGGCTGGTGTTGGGGAGAAATTTGAGTCTTTCCTGCGCCAGTATCACCTGGGATGCTGTAAAGAGAGAAGACGGGGAAATTTGGAATGAAACAGGCATGTTTTACATTCACACTTAAAAGAGTTTGAGAAGTGACCTGTAGGCGGCTGTCTCAACACTGCTGTACCGGGGTCAAACCAGCCGTCTTGTTCTTGAGAACACGCGATGCTTTTTGCTGGATCGGGGCTAGCGGCCATTCCGGGTGTCTTGTCCCAATGCCTGAAACGTGACTTTCTTCGTGGCATTTTCCTTTCAAGTAAATCACTGGACTCCTTTGCCAAATGGTTAGATAACTTTTAAGAACAAAGAACGTTCATGCAAAAGGAGATTCGGCATTCTCGTGCTAGGGAAACAAACAATCATTTTTGAAAAGAAAGCACATTCTATTATTTTGGACCAACTGTGAACACGACAGTCGGTTTCTAATGGAGGAGGCGTTTCCTACGCTTATCACGAGATAGATGTGCCGGCCGATTAAAATATTCTGCCACCGCTGGAATAATGAGACCTGACAGAGAGCCTGCGGTACGGCCTTGACATCGAATGCGGAGGGGCGAAAGTTGACGTGCTGTCCTCAGTGAGAGGAAGTGCTGAAATCAAAAAGGATGGGATTGCCTGAGATGTCACTGGGGCCCGCGGAGGTTAAGTGTGATTCATCACTCAGCTTTAATGCAGAGCGGTGAACTCAGCACTCATGCGAGCGCATTGACGCGGCCGGGCCAGGAAGAACCACCCGGAACCCCATCCTTC